TTGTTTTATTTTCTTTTGTTTAGGCAGCACAGGAGGTCCCCTTGCAGCCCAGAGCCGTGGAAGCTCCTTCTATATGTTATTTGTGCTATGTATTCTTACAATGCGACATAGACTTAAACCAGGGTGGTGTTCACCAAAGATGAAGACGATGAATACACCTAGAGTTTGCCCGTGGTACTCATCGGTCACATCATCCGACTGATGGTCAGCTGCTTCAAACAACCTAAATCTCGCCTCTGTCACACTTGGTGGAGATGTTGGGTATCGATCCCAGCACCCCACCCTGCACCTCTTCAGTCCAAGTATTAGCGAATTTCAGCCGAACCCCATGCAATGCAAAAACACTGCGTTTGTGAGGCCCGATGATCTCTACGAATTGAACGTTATGCGATTTAGAATTTCTGATGCCCCGGAAACTTTCGAACGCATGATGGACACCCTTCTCCGCGGATATAAGTGGTGTATATGTCTATGTTACCTAGAGGATGTCGTCTATTCTCCTATGCTTTACATCCGTTTCAGACGTCTGTCTGATGTTCTGAATGTTTTTTCGCAGAGGCGTTCTTCAACTGAATTTGGCATGAAAGCATACCGGTCGACGGTCAGCGGTACGCCACAAATCGGTTTTCTGGCGCTGTAACAATACTGATTGTTGGCCTAGTTGATACTTGCTTACAGACATGCTTTGGCCGCAAATAACACGCACACAAAGTAAAGAAACACTCAACGACAAGCATAAGCGGCTTGTTCAGTGTTTCTTTACTTTGTGTATGTGTTATTTTCGGCCAAATCATGTCAGGTCTGATGCTGGTAGGTAAGCGGGAACTCACTACTGGGCCACATTGTGGAGTTCACATGTTGGCTATACGACATTCGTGTTGTCGGAGAAATCGGCAATGTTGGGAAAGTCGTCGGCGCTGAGAGCGGGTGTGTTTTGCAGGGCTGGTGATGGTCCAGTTGTTGGAATTCGCTGTGCCGAAGGCGCGACGACGAGGCGCCAGACTGCATCAGCGTAAGTAAGATGTCGTCGCACATCACTATAGCCGGATGAAGAGAGAGCCTGACGGACCTCATCCCGGACAACATCCACGACAAAAGGCAATGCTGGCGTCGGTTCAGTTTCTGGATTTAAACCAAGCTTCCGAAGCTCCTCCCTCAAAATATCCCGAATGACTTCTCTCAGAGGCCTATCGGAGGGGCTCGCCGCAGCCGTAACAGGCACTACTCGCTCGAAAGCTGACCGGGTTCTGTTGGCATTATTGTTGCTGTAGGACCCATTCAATAGCTGTGGCTTCTCTCGTGAACTAAGCTTCTGTGGTTGGTAGATTTCTCACAAGCCCAGCAAACAGTTGCTCCTTCACGCCTCGCATTAGATATCACAGCTTCCTGTCTTCCGGAATCTCGCGATTTGCCCTGTCGGAAAGACGGGTCATGTCCTCAGCTAACATTGCAACGCTCTCACTTGGTTTTTGAATTCGAGCTTACAAGAGATGTTGCACATTCTCCTTTCTGTCGAGACTACTAAAGGTGTCAACCAGCTGGTTGCGGAAGCCGTTCCACGTAGCCAAGCTTCTTTCCCTGTTGGTGTACCACGTCCGGGAATTGTCTTTCAGGTAGAAGTACACATTCGCGAACTTGTCTTCTGGGATGGCCCACTAGTTGTACTTCACGCAGCGTTCAAACTGGTCTAGCCAGTCTTGGGCATCTTCATAAGTCTTACCGAGAAAACAATCAGGAATCATGGGATTCTGTAGTGTCATGTGCACTGGAACTGCAGTGGCCATGTTGGTTGAAGGAGGCAAGCGATTGCTGGCAGTTTCTCACGAGAGATTAAGCTCAGGTACCCGGCCTAGCAGACGGCAACTGAAATGATGGACAGGTGTGTTGACGCGTGGTAGCGATTCCGGGCTCCTATGTCAGGTCCGCAAAGGGGTGGCAAGCATGAAGACTACCCAGCACCTCCACCAGTGTGACTACGCGGGATCGACGAGCATACAAAGCACCTTGAACAAACACGCTTTCTCGATCACAAGAAAAAGACTGCAACGTCTTTGTCTCTGCCCTCAGCCAAGGACACTCGCGCTGCTTTGTTGTGGCCGCCATTGGCACATACGCGCATCGATATGGCGTGTATTTTCAATTCTAAGCATTTCTTAGTGAACTTCTACGACTTTGAGCACATCTATCTATCTATCTATCTTTCTATCTCTTTCTTTCCTTCCTTCTTTCTTTCTTTCTATCGATCTCTCTATCTATCTTTCTATCCTAGCCGCCTTCGACATTTAGCTCTCCTGGCCGTTTCGATGATGCTATAGATACCAAAATTGGTATGGCATAGCATGACTCTATTACTAGTATAAGTGACTATTCATAACATGAAAATCTTGACATGTAAGCCATGAATGTAAAGATTTACATGTAGTGGTCCTGCTGCTCTTGTGGTGGCTTCGTTCACATGACATTGCAAAACTAGTATGGTATGGCATAACTATAGCGAACATAAGTGACCAACCCTACGTGTAAATCATGACATACATGTCATGTAAGTCATGACTACAGACCACGCTCATGGTGTGCTCGCGGTCATTTAGCTAGCTTCCCATGTCTAATTTGGCATTACGTGACGCGAACACAGGCCGAAGGTAAAGGACACGTCCAAACAGGATAATCATGACATGCATGTCATGTAAAACAAGACTACAAGCTACGCTCATAGTGCGTGTGTAGCCGTTTCACTAGCTTCAAAAATATCAAATTTGGCGTTACATGACGTCAATGGATGACGAAAGTATATGACTGAGCAAACATGATAATCAGAACGTGCCTGTTATGTAAGAACTTGACAATATAATACGCTCAAGATGCTCTCGCGGCCATTTTGCTAGCTTCACATATGCTGAATTTGGTGTTACATTACGTGAATGGACGACGAGGGTAATTGACAGGTCCAAACATGATAATTATGACATGCGTGTCATGTAAAACATGACTGTATGCTACACTCATAGCGTGCTTCCTCCCATTCTGCTAGCTCTTATTGTACCAAATTTGGTGTTGTGTGAATGAACGACGAAAGTAAATGACACATCTAAACATGGCAATCAATCTAAGCGTATCATGTAAAACATCACTACATGTCACGCCCTTAGCGCACTAGCGGCCATTTCACCAACTCCACATATACCAAATTTGGTATCACGTGGCGCAAATAGACGACGATAGTAAATGACATGTCCAAGCATAATAATCATCCCATGAATGTCATCTAGGGCAAAATTTACCTCTGCATTGTAATATTGTGCTGATTTTAAAGTGACATATCAGCCTTCCTCATTCGTTTTTCGTATATCATCGATTTTCACTCTATGTAAGGTCTGCCGATTTTCGCTGTTAAATTGGACCACAATACGCTCTGTTGTCTTTCGTCACTGAAGGATCCTACTGGCCGATTCCGTCACTGAACTCTGCGACTGCAAGAATATTCCTATGCAGTGATGTATAAGTTGGAAAGCCTATAGCAGGACGCAGACTGCTTATCCCGCTAACCGGTTAGTCAAGCATTGTCTCCGACAGTCGCAATTCTACTTGTGTCTTTTCTGTTTCCCAATGGACCTGCATCACCGAGGAGCGAAGCCGTGATGCGTCCTTGCGTGCTATCATATAACGCCTGAAATAACATCTTTTCACCCTTCCCAACACTTCTTCGTGTACTATTCCGTCATAATTTTTATCCAGACGCATCAGCTCTGGTGCTTGCCATTCCAAAAGTCATCCTTTCAGCTCTTCTTCACAAACTTTATGACCTTCCAACTGGCGGTCCCCGTGGTGTACCCTTATGACCTCATACGCGGACACTTTTTCTTTTTTTGGCCAGAGCTTGCACGTGCCGTCATAAAATAGTTTTCAGCGTGTAAGAAATGTCAGCACCAGAAAACGCCAACGGCGCTTTTTACCAAGTGCCTTCAACAACTTGACATTTCCTCAAAAAGGTACTTCGCGTGTGCTTAGATTTTCGTGGCCCCGTTCATCTGTTTTTTTTTGGGGGGGGGGGGGGGTAACTGGCACATAGCTGAAGCAACAGACAATGCCAGGCGCTATCCATCATACGAGCTCTTACCGCAGGCTGCGTCCCAGGTGTCGCCGACTTTCTCCTACACAACGTGATTTTTCAGCAAGGAGCTTCACCCCAGCTTCTAAGGAGCATGGCCGCATATTTCTATCAAAGGTCATAGCCGACATTCTGCACTCTTGTCAAACGAAGCAAAAGCTCACTACGTCAAACCACCCGCAGAAAAATGTACTCACGGAGCATCTAAAGCGAATACTTACAGATGTACTTGCGAAGTATATTTCTTGGTACCACTCTAATAGGAACCATGTTTTACTGTACGTTACATTTATGCACAAGTCTTCACTCTGCGACACTTCTGGTTACTCTCCATTTGTTTTGTTCTTCAGCCGAGAAAAAAACCTTGCCCCTTGATACTGTCATTTCGTTTCCAGCAGCACCGACCAGCCAATATGCCCTTGACGTTTTTTCTTAGGCTCCGCATGCACGGTAAACAGCCAGTACCTCTCAAAAGAACCAACGAGATTTCTATGATGGACAATACCAAGACGTGCTCTTTTCATACGGTTCTTTGGTTCTGCCGCGGGCTCCTTACCTGGCAAGTCCGCTTCTCGGCAAACCGGCTTTCTAGATGCGCAGGCCCATATTGAGTCCTTCATACCGTTACTTCTACGACATATGAAATCGCTCCTGTCACGTCATCACATTCATCTGCCTCACAAGTCAGCTGTATCGTAAATGTGGCATACTTGAAGCCCTACATGGCAATCAATCTAAGCGTATCATGTAAAACATCACTACATGTCACGCCCTTAGCGCACTAGCGGCCATTTCACCAACTCCACATATACCAAATTTGGTATCACGTGTTTCAGACAAAACATGCAGTTGCATTCCCTATTGATAGAAATAAGCGCTGTGTACTACAAACCATGCCACGTAGATTCGGGTCCGCGACTGGTGACCTGTTCCCGTGGAAGTCGGGCCATACGTGGAGGTCAGCCACGAGCTGTGACGGAGAATCGAGGCCACGTCGCTCGCACATGCTCAGTAGCAATGCGTTCAGTGTGTCCTCTGGCCTCCTGAGTAAGACAACAAAAAGAAAGATACAAAACGAGCGAGAGAGAAATAAAAATGCCCAGTGTCGCATAAAGGGTGACGCAATGAATGCGATAGCAACATATTCGAATGTTTTACGAAGCAAGGCTGGCATTTGATCTCACGTAACTCCGCTAAACGCTGAATCACGGCTGCTGGCCACTCCAGATATACTTCTGGCACCATTTTTTCGTGTTGAGACCGCAGCCCCTAGAAGCTCGCGCCTGCTGTGGGGGCACAATGCGCGCGCTGATCGTTTCCGCAATAGCGTGGCCACCATAAGCCCCCCCCCCCTTTTTTTTCGCTCACGAGATAAACGCGCGCTGATGACGCTGGCCGGAAAAGCGATGTTGTCTCTGCAGAAAGATGAGGCTAGCTTATCCTTCCCCATGTATATATATACATACATACATATACATATACCTCAATAACAGCGGTGACGGCAACAACAAAAATCAGCCGAGACTGTCCATATAATCGCTATCACAATAAAAAAAGCCAGTGAGCTTTCTCTAGACTGAGCCCGGTCAGCTATCCTACGTTGGAGGAGGAAGGGTACAAAGAGTTTTTCAAGAAAAGATTTATGAATGGCCACTTATATTTTTGTGCACGAGTTTTCTTTCATTCTTTCTTTCTTTCACATTGTGTATTACTCTTTCCCAACGTAGTGGGATAATAACGAGGTGAACAGGTGAAGTGCCTCAGACTGGCTGGCCGACGTTTTGATAGGAGGACCTATCTTTTTCAAAGGCGCCGTGTCATCTTTGGCGGGTTAGTTTTAAAGAGGTTAGTGGTGATGTCATCTCATGGTGATGGCACGTGTCCTTGTTGATATCGCTGTCTAAAAAGCAAAATACTAAAAGCAGGAGAGTGCAGTCCTCGCTTCACATCAAGTCAAGTTTTAGTGATTCAGAAATGTTCTCAGAGAGTAGTAAAAAAAAGGAAAAGCGTGAAGTTAGAGCGGTGAGCTGCAAAGAGGGCAGCCGCTTCAGACACGAACAAGTGAAAGAGCTTAAAGCTTTGAAGCCGGCAGAGTGTATCACATTCTGGTGTTGCTAGTACGCATGTTTCAATTGGCATTGTTGTTCAAGTGTTGGCCAAACAGCTGGTTATATAGATATCTGTAACTTTTCAACATATGTCTGTGAGTGCAAAATTTGTGCATATATTTAGCGTCATTTCATGACGCATCGCTCAATAAAAAAATTGCAACATGCGGTCACCTTCTCTCCGCATGCTTCGCATAACGTCGTTTTCCAGGTACAGGATCTGTTAATTTTTTTTTCGTTTGTCCCGCAATTGGGCCTTCATAACAGTGTGCTTAGCAGCCCAACAATTGAGTGGCTAGAGGCAACAAAGACGTCCATGTGTTGTATCTAGGCAACAATGCAAAGTCTCAACGCGAGCTGAAATAACGCTTTGATAAAATAGCAGACTTGCATCAGAAATATTTGATCGGTGAAAAGCGGACGATTGAAAGAGGATCGAATGTTTGGAGAACGGCTCATAAAAATTCGTACGTGACTGGCGCACCTTGGAGGAAAGGGTGGAAGAAGAGTTGCATCCACGCAATAACTAGAAAGCCTAGCAGACACACAAACTTTTTGTACACTCAGTGTGCTGGTCTTTCGTTCTGTTTTGTTTTGCTCTTTGTTTTTGCAGTACCACAAGTCGGTTGGTGAGAGTTAAGAGCTCTGCTAGAATTTCCACAGTGAATGCTTGTGTATACTAAAGGAAGCAACTGGAGTGAAGCTTTGCAGATCAAATACTCATCTATCGCTGCGATGGAAGTATTCAAGTTCACATAATACAGATCAATTCATTCTATAGGTGTTTCACGGAAACCAGAGAATAAAGCATTTTGCGGAAAAATCGTAATAACGATAGAGGTTAAAGAAAGCAGGAATATATGAACACCCCATCATTAATTACTTTCACTGAGAACATAGTGAACCTTCCTTCTTAAATACGATAACGTTTTGCTGAACCGCGTGATGCATCTTCTGGCGCATCATTATCATCATCATCACAGAACGCTGTGCCGATGCCTAACAGCGATATTTCCGCCCTGAGACCAATGCTGACGCAACCTTTGCAGCTATGCAACATGCAAATCGTTGCTTGAAACATGGTTGTAGCTCATATACACATAATAATAAATATGAGGCTTGTAGATACATTAGTAAGCATCCCCTTTGGTGGTCATATAATTTGACGTCGAGCGAAAATGTGATCGCAATAAATGCATAGACATATATAATTTTCAAGGACGTGCGCCGGAGAATACGAGGGCAAGTAAAAAAATTATCTACACTTTTGTTATATAACTTTTTACATGGAGCACTTTGATTTATGTGCAGGCATATTTTATTGTTTTACTGTAGTGGTAATGTCATAAGAGTTGCATGTTACTTCTTTCATTTTTTGTCCTTCTGTTGCAGATATTTAAACGACTACTTTATTACGCCAAAGATGACCAACAAGCTGTGATCCGATTCCTCTGGTCCAAAGGTGTCAACAGATCGCAGACTATCCTCGTGTGACGTCCCCGCAAACACGGACTGAACCCCGGTCCTTTCAAGATGTTTTCGCTCGTTTCTTAAACCCACGCATAAAAAAAGGAAGAGAAAACCTTCGGTGTAACGAATGGGCATTCTGGAGCGGAGTACCTGGAAGGATTATTTCTACTATTCTCACGGGCTCCCCCCCGCAAACACGAAGACCGGGCGGTGCCTTGTCGTCTACAGACAGTGTGACGGTGTACGGTGGAGATAATCCACGTGCACCTTTCAGATTTGTGGCATGGGGGAGCAGCAGAGCACCTTTTGTTGGTTCAGGAAATGCGACCCTGCCGCAGCGCCTGTGCCGGGTCAGACCTGACTTTTCGTCAGCCTCCGTGGCTCCAGGGCTCATTACTGCATTCTGCGCGGATGACCACCCGTGGCCTTGAATGACGAAGAAGCGGCGGCTACGGAGAATTTCACGGGAGACACCGAGCTGCATGGAGACGTCAAGACTCGTTCTGGACATCGACTCGTCAAGTACCAGAAACCGGGGCAATCGGTTCGACCGGAAACTTTTCGGCACAACACTGCAAACTCCGGACGTTGGCCATTACAGATAACGCACTTTGTCAGAAGCATCGGCATCATTGTTCGCCCATAATTAAAGTGTCCTAGGACAGCTCGCCCATCTCTCTCTCTGAGGCTTGAGTTTGTACATTGTTACTTGCTAGCCTTTGTTTGGGAGAGGGTTTTCTACTGGTGTGAGCCACGGGGGCGGCCGTCGAAGATGATACACTCCGACTGACCAGAAAATATGCCACGTCTATAGTGGCGATTGGTTTGAGGCCCCGGTAGGGCGGAGTTGGGTCCTACAAAAAGGGGCTACGAGACGATACGAGGGGGGTCAGAGATATACGATGCGATGAGCTCGAAATGGTAGAGAGGCAAGGACGGTACGATGAGGAATGAAGGCTAGGGATAGGAGGCGAGTGAATGGAGCGTTACGAAAGAGGGCTAAGATGGAAATCACTGAGAGGCACGACGTAGGCGACGATGACGAAGACGATGAAGACGCTGACGAATTAGACGGATCAGACCTCGACGCCAAGAACCAACCTTCGGCCCCGATTCGAGCAGCCAACTCCGAGGCCCCGACTACATGGACATTCTGTAAAACGAACTTCACCTCCCTCACTTAAACGAGCTTTGCGGGTAGGGATGCGGCATATTGAGACATTGCACGGTTTTATTCATTGATAACTTCATCATTTGTGTCGTCCTGTGTTTACTCTGTATTGTGGCACCCTTGTATTGTCACCGATACTTCGCTTATGTATTCTGTTTTGCGTCTCGCGAGTATTTTCTGATGTGTTACAATTTCGTCTAACAGAGATGTCGTTAACGAATAGTATGTGTGTATGCCATTTGCACTTGCTATTAAATTAAATGAATCAGTAAACAGATAGAGGTCGTAGCGTCTCTTACTTCCCGGCCCCAGCACCAATCCCTGTATGTGGGAAGTGATTGAGACACATAGCCAAGAGGGAACCGGACAGACAAAGGGGTTGAGTGGTCTTCCCTCTCATTGGTAATCAGTGGTATAGCGGGGCATGTCTCGAGTGGTGGCAGCGGTGGGATTACTGCTGGGGCAACGGTGCGAGATTTCACCCTCGTACTAGGGAAGGAGAGGCGGCAAAATAAACGAGCAGGCTACTACCAAGATGACTGACAGAGACAACCCACTAGAAATGAGTGCGTCAATGTTAGCGGACATGGTTCCGTCGTTTACAGGAGGTGATACGGGTCCGAATGTTGGGGTCTTCTTTAAAATTTTCCAGCAGGTTGGTCGCTTGGGTGGATGGCGGTATAGTGAGCTGGTCTGCATAGCACGATGTAAGATGGTAGGCGCGGCGCACGATTTTGCGTGGTGGGATGATGGCGTCACTGCGGCTTCAACTTTTTCTGAGTTTAAATATTTGGCCCTCAAGAGGTTCAATACGGAGCCACTTATCTTTAAAACGGAACGGTTTTTAAACGTGAGGCAGAAGGCAAATCAGGAGGTGAGGTCATTTGCAAGTCGCTTGCGCATCCTTGGGACCGCCATCCTGGCAAGCTCTGATAGTCAGGATCCGGTGAAAACTTCAGTGCACCGCGAAATTCTAGCCGAACAATTACTCTCGCAATTTTTATTAGGCCTGAGGGATCCGGTCCGCAGATTTGTTCTCTCTCTGGATCTAAAAACATTTGACGAGGCCATTGCCATAGCGGTTGAGGAGGAACAGAATGCGAAAGTGTCGTGGAGCCATACGTTACTCGTTCGCTATGCAGAAGAGAACACGGATATTCATGAGATGGATAGCCTCCTTGACTGCCTCGAAAAAATTGTGGAGAGCTTGGTAGTACGCAAAAAGGTGAAACAAAATTGGCAGGAATCCCCGAGGCAACTCCGTTATCCCGGCGGGTGCTATAACTGTGGCAGGTTTGGTCACTTTGGGCGAGAATGCCACCGATACCAGCAACGAAAGTGGAATTCGACGGGTGGCAGCCGCATTCACAAAGGCAAGGAGAGGGCGGGAAAATTCGAATCAGATTGATTGATTGATTTGTGGGGCTTAACGTCCCAAAACCACCACTTGATTATGAGAGACGCCGTAGTGGAGGGCTCCGGAAATTTCGACCACCTGGGGTTCTTTAACGTGCACCTAAATCTGAGTACACGGGCCTACAACGTTTCCGCCTCCATCGGAAATGCAGCCGCCGCAGCCGGGAATCGAACCCGCGACCTGCGGGTCAGCAGCCAAGTACCTTAGCCACTAGACCACCGCGGCGGGGCAAATTCGAATCAGAAAACCTAGACGCAACTCCTCCTCATGACGTTGACACGGAAAGGTCAATCGCGGTTGTAAATATTCGCGAGAAAATAAACTCCGTAAAAATGAGTCGCGGTTCACCGTGTGCGGAAGTAGTTAATGTAATTTTCATGATCGAGGAGGATGTTCCGCAATTGAGCGAGTGTGTGTATGAGGGGAACGCTCCCACGCCGGTGCCACTGGGTGAAACAAAAGTTGTCGAGATTGCTAGAGCGGATACAGATGGTTTAGCTGTGGTTTCTACCTCGAAGGCCCAATGAGACGATGAGGCATTACCAGTAGGAGTAGTAGATATGGAGTTGGATGAGAATGGGTTTTCTGAGGATACAGTTGTCGGAGTCTTGGTCGACACGGTGGTAGACCGAACGTTAGAGAGAGTGGATGAGATTGAAGAATGCCTAGATCGCAATGGGGTAGTTTTTGTGGGGCCAAAGGGGAACTGCAGCACACTCGATGTACACCGCACCGAACCCAGGCATGTGCATCGGTGGTCTTATAAGATAGCTTCGCATATGTCCCGCTCCACGACTAAGTTGAGTAGGTGAAAGTTCGAACCATCCAACAAGGGTCAGGGACTCAGAGTCGGGGAAGAGGTCTGCATACGGGTAGATGCTGAGCGCTCGGGGATCGGCTAGGGTCATAAGAGTCCACAATGTTGTATGCCATTTTATGTTCTATAATTTCTACTCTGTCATTGTGCATGTTACTTTAGTAAAGACCTTCTGTCGAAAGTTAAGTTTTTTTTGTGTTTTGCTTTGGCTTGTACACTTGTTTTATTTTGTTGATTGTGTTTTGAAGTGAGGCCAGGCACGAGATGGTATGCGAGGGTAATTCAGTATTGCTGCCTGTATGACCTATGTTCTCCCGCCTTCCCGCTTTTCGTTTGGTTTGAAATGTTCGATAAGGTCTTAAAACTTTGTGCATGTGTGGAATGAAAGCGTATTGAAATGTGTGTATCCTCTGTTCGGTTGCGCTGAGAGTGGACAGTGCAGGCGAAGTATGTGATGTGCTCGCATTGTAGTGAATCTTCCGCACACATGACTGAACGTTGCGCGCCAAACCATCCGACGAGCAGCTGTGACCAGTGTGCATTTTGTCCACGCGTCATTCACGAGTTCATGCAGTGATTCTAAAGGTTTCAAGTGTGATGTGCACCGTAGAAATACGGAATCAAACTGCTTCATGGTGGGTGATGATTCAGCGACAATCACAGATTGGTTCCTCTGAGCGACACGCCACCGCCAGGGCTGAATCACAAGTGTACTGTGTTCGCACATCGTATTCCTAAGACTGCCGCAATGTCTCAATTTCGCTGCGCAACCCAAAGGCGCTATGTGCCCGCATTTCTCGTGTTTGAATGTCCCTGCCAGGAAAATTCTTCTGCAAGATGAAGGGATTGTGACGTCCCCGCAAACACGAACTGAACCCCGGTCCTTTCAAGATGTTTTCGCTCGTTTCTTAAACCCACGCATAAAAAAAAGGAAAAGAAAACCTTCGGTGTAACGAATGAGCATTCCGGAGTGGAGTACCTGGAAGGATTATTTCTACTATTCTCACGGACTCCCCCACGCAAACACGAGGACCGGGCGGCGCCTTGTCGTCTACAGACAGTATGACGGTGTACGGTGGAGATAATCCGCGCGCACCCTTCAGATTTGTGGCATGGAGGAGCAGCAGAGCACCTTTTGTTATCGGGAAATGCGACCCTGCTGCAGCGCCTGTGCCGGGTCCGACCTGACTTTTCGTCAGCCTCCGTGGCTCCAGGGCTCATTACTGCGTTCTGCGCGGATGACCACCCACGGTGTTGAATGACGAAGAAGTGGGGGCTACGGAGAATTTCGCGGGAGACACCAAGCTGCATGGAGACGTCAAGACTCGTTCTGGACATTGGCTCGTCAAGTACCAGAAGCCAGGGCAATCGGTTAGGCCGAAAACTTTTCGGCACAACACTGCAAACTCCGGACGTTGGCCATTACAGACAACGCACTTTGTCGAAAGCATCGGGACCATTGTTCGCTCGTAATTAAAGTGTCTTGGGACAGCTCGCCCATCCCACTCTCCGAGGCTTGAGTTTGTACATTGTTACCTTCTCGCCTTTGTTTGGAAGAGGGTTTTCTACTGGTGTGAGTCGCGGGGGCGGCCGTCAAAGATGATACACTCCGACTGACAAGAAAATATGCCGTGTCGATAGTGGCGATTGGTTTGGGGCCTCGGTAGGGCGGAGTTGGGTCCTACAAAAAGGGACTACGAGACGATACGAGGGAGGTCAGAGATATACGATGCGATGAGCTCAAGATGGTAGAGAGGCAAGGACGGTACGATGAGGAATGAAAGTTAGGGATAGGAGGCGAGTGAATGGAGTGTTATGAAAGAGGGCTAAGATGGAAATCACTGAGAGGCACGACGTAGGCGACGATGACGAAGACGATGAAGACGCTGACGAATTAGACGGATCAGACCTCGACGCCAAGAACCAACCTTCGGCCCCGATTCGAGCAGCCAATTCCGAGGCCCCGACTACATGAACATTCTGTGAGACGAACTTTACCTCCCTTACTTAAACGAGCTTTGTGGGTAGGGATGCGGCATATTGAGACATTGCGCGGTTTTATTCATTGATAACTTTATCATTTGTGTCGTCCTGTGTTTACTCTGTATTGTGGCACCCTTGTATTGTCACCGATACTTCGCTTATGTATTCTGTTTCGTGTCTCGCGAGTATTTCCTGATGTGTTACAATTTCTTCTAACAGAGATGTCGTTCAGGGACAGTATGTGTGTACGCCATTTGCACTTGCTAATAAATTAAATGAATCAGTAAACAGAAACAGGTCATAGCGTCTCTTACTTCCCGGCACCAGCACGAATCTCTGTAAGTGGGAAGTGATCGAGACACATAGCCAAGAGGGAACCGGATAGACAAAAAGGTTGAGTGGTCTTCCTTCATTGGTAATCGGTGGCGTAGCGGGGGACGTCTCACTCGCAATAAATTTCAGTTACACCTCCTTTAGCCCAAACCTGGTTGCATGACTTTCTCATTTTGAGCCTTTCTAGGATGGTTTCCATAGTTATGGATTTGGCTCAGATTTAAACGTGCAAAATAGGGCACAAAGTTGTTGCACGGCCAACCAAAAACCTTTCATTTGGAAAGAATACGTCAACTCGTTGGCAGTTAGAACAAGTGGTAAGGAGTAAAATTACGCATAAAAATGATGTGTGTTGTATAACCTAGCTTCATATTAATAAACTCTAAATTGGAAAATGTAAATAGTTCTTCCACTTAGACTCGCAAACATAAAGACGTATTAAGCCGGATTACGTATTATGCAGAATCGTATCAAAGATATTTCAGTGTACTGTGTTCTGATTTGATCAAATGCATTTTCGACGATTCACTGCGAGGGCTTCCAGCATTTGAGGCAACTAGGCAATACCAGTTAGCACCAAATATTTTTTTTTTCTTAAAAAGAGAACACGTTGGGCTCGCACCAGCGAAACAAACTCACCGGCCCGGCTTCGTTTTTGCTTGTATCAGCGGGTATGCAGGGTGCGTCGAAATCACATGGTCTACCTGCAGTGAAGGATCGAGCAAAAAAGAGAACAGGAAAACAGGGAGGTAAACCAGATGCTAGTGTACGAAGTGCCTACACAACAGTAAAAAAGCTAATGCTATTCATTTACTTGTGCCTTATGCACTCGTAGTGCTTTTTTTTCTTTCGTAAGTGGTGCTAAATGAAAGAAGTTATTAATAATACCATCTGGGGTTTGACATTCCAAAACCACGAGTTGATTATGAGAGTCATTGTAGTGGAAGGCTCCAGAAATTCAGACTGTCTGGTATTACTTAAGGTGCATTATATCGCCCAGCAAACGGGCTTCTACCAGTTCACCTCCAGCGAAATTCGACCACTATGGCTGGAATTGAACCCACTACCTTTTGGTCAGTAGCCAATCACCTTAGCCATTGTTACACCGAGGGGAACCAATGAAAGATGTGCATGGAAATAAATTTTAACAAAATACCTCCGTATGACAGGCTGAAGGATGTTTATTGCTTTCTTTGATAATAAGTGAAAGCAGGCTTCCAATATTTTGATCGAACCAATATGTTTGCCTAAGCACACTTGAGTAACACTCTTGTAGCTTGTTGATTATACATACTGAAGGAAAAACAACGCATATTGACGAGAACGGACTGATACAAGGGAGGGAACACAGAGACACAGGTGCTGACCAACAACTGAAGTTTTACTGGTTTGTATGGTTGCCCATTCGATGTCGTCGCCGACCATCATGCACTATGCTGGCTTTCATCATTGCAGGATCCCTCAGGCCATCTAGCCTGTTGGGCTCTTCGCTTACAAGACTACGACATCCGCGTGCTGTACCACAACGGACGCAAGCATGCTGACATCGATGCCCTCTCGCACTCCCCTCTGCCCGATGATGACGTGCCCTGCTCAGTAACTTCTATTGCTGTTTCTGTCATCGATGTTGACATCCTCGCTATCGAACAGTGGAAGGGTAGTTGGATCACTCCACTGATCGACTTACTCTCTGATCTGCGCGCAACAGCATCCACACGTGCCTTGCGTCGTCGAGCTCACCATATCGCTATCCGTAACGGCCTTCTACACCGACGCAATTACGACTCCGATGGCCGGCAGTGGTGATTCGTCATACCCCGCAGTCTGCGGTTGGAGATATGTGAATCTTTCCATTCTGATCCGCAATGTGCGCACTCTGGGGTATGCAAAACTTACCACCACATTCGACAATGCTACTTCTGGTGCGGGACGTACCGCTATGTGCAGCAGTTCATTCGCTCTCGCATCACTTGCCAACGCCGCAAACCATCAGCACACATGTTGCACGCCGGTCTGCAACCGCTACCTTGGCCTAGCCGTTCCTTTGGGCGCGTAAGGAATCGACTTGAATGACGTCGGCTGACGTCAGCCGACGTCGGCTGGTAACAGCTGGGCCATCATTGCCGTAGACCATTTAACGCGATACGCTGAAACCGCCGCTCTCCCGGTTGCTACTTCGCGCGATGTTGCGTCATTTATGCTACATCAATTTATACTGCACCACGGAACACCCCAAGAGCTTTTCAGCGATTGACGCCGTGTCTTCTTGTCGGAAGTCGTCGAAGTCATTCTGACGGAGTGCCATTCTGTCCACCGCAAAACTACTGCTTACCACCCGCAGACGAAGGCCTCCCCGAAAGCTTTAACCGTTCCCTCAGCGACATGCTTTCAATGTACATTGCCGCCAACCACACGAATTGGGATAATATACTGCCCTTCGTCACCTACGCCTACAACACCGCCCCTCAGAGCAAGACCGGGTTTTCAGCTTTTTTCTTGCTGTACGGAAGGCACCCGTCGCACCCAATGGATACAATACTCCCGTACACGTGGGATTCATCGGAGTGTGCGCCTATTTCTGGGGCAGCCAGACTTTCTGAAGAGTGTCGCGAGCTTGCCAATACTTTTACGGCTCATGAGCAAGAGCGGCAGAAGAGTATTCGTGATGGCTCCACCACTTCTGAGCCCACGTTCCTTCCTGGTGCGCTTGTATGGTTCTAGATCCCGACCTCTGTAGCTGCCCATCTTCCAAACTACTTCCCAAATACGAAGGCCCGTACCGTGTCATCGGGCGCACATCTTCAGTCAACTATCTGTTCGAACCCGTCGAACAACCTGCGGACATGCGCCGCCGTTGGAGCGACATCGTCGACGTGGAGCGCCTGAAGGCCTATTATGACCCGCTCATAGTAACAAGCTGTTAGGTCTCCAGGCAGCTCCCTCTTCAACCCCGAGGTAATTGTAGCGAAGCCTCCAAACTCTGAAATTGATCAAACTCTTGAATACCTTCTAGTGGAGCTACTTAACAAGGACACCACTCGCGCTGGGAGTCCATGCTTGGCCGTGACTGTCGCCATTGTGTATGCTCGCTGGTTGCCGGCCAATAAATGCCTTATAAGCTCATACACCATGAAATAAATGCCAGGTACGAAAAGAAACAAAAAAGAGAAAAGCACAGCAAAATAAGAAAGGCCTGATATAGCACTCAAGAAAGTTAACCAAGTGAAACAGTGATTATCTAGTTCCCAATAATAAGGCTAGCTCTCTATACAAAAGGGCTATTGATGAGTTGTTCACACAACTGTCCTGTAGGTTCACGATATTTCAGGTCTCTTTGATTTCTCAGGTCACTTTATCGCCACACCTTCGTAGTACTGTCATGCTACTGAATCGGGGTGGGCATTCACAAGCTTGCCAGCGTCCAGAAATTCACATGGTCACATTGTATTTATGGTTGATGTAAGTGCTTCCGCAAGACATGGAAATAGAATAAACAACTCCCTCAGTACATGACACGAACTTATTGCGATGATCAGTGACGCAGCCAACCTTCATCCGACCCATCTAATTTACTCATTTGCACAGATGTGATTAGCCGTCTGGAGCTGCAAATAGAATGTTTATCCCATTTTTTTCTGCCTGTATTTCTCAGGTTGTGGGAATATACGAATGAAATGACCGTACACTTCTTATATTTGTCTCTTACGCCAGCTATCTCTCTTTAATATTGCTTCTTCCATTAAGGATAGAAGAATTTGTGGGTATCTAGGCTGTGTACTAGACGGCACTTTCAATTCCAAATGCTATATTTTAGCTTCTGCTCGCACAATTGCTTGATAGCACTGGTTAAGCAGGAATGTATGATGCTGCACTTAACCAACTTTGAGTTGACTGAATCGAAGGGAAGGAGTGATTTGTCAATGTAGCCCGAGGCTCAAAAGCCCAACGGGCATGACTGCGGCTAAAATATAAACCTAATACTAAAAAAATTCATATGACGGCATTGGCTGAGTATGCTATAATTTTGGCTCCGCAACAATATTTGGCTCGTCCTAAGGTCTTCCTGAGGATCACAATAGGACACAATATATTCACGTGCGCTTCTTTTATTTTCATACAAAAGACCCCTTACACTCATAACCAGCGTTTTGTGTGCACCACGCTGGCAAGTCAGTTGCACTAATGAGCATAAGCATGCAACACGAGCATTCTAAAACTAAGCCATCTACCATCAATAGGCCAGGGATATTCGATGCGAAATGAACCTTAACGCTGCTCAGGTTACCAATGACCGACGACTTTAAACAAGGTTATGTTGTATTTAAGGTGCTATTCTTTATCTGGGAAGAAGTAGGCCTAACAAATATTCTGATACTTGAGATTGTGTAGTGCTCACACACAAAAACACAAAAAGAAAATAAAATGACGACACTTGAAAAAGTGGCCACAACATCTCTGACTTTGGGCTGAATTTTTATTCGGGAGCAAACAAAAGTAAACCAATCAAAGTTATTAGATAAAATGTGCGAAAAACAAAGACTTCTGGCATTTGCCTCTAACTAAACCTACATGCATCGACTTTTGTGTCAAATTAGCGCACGAGCTGGTCAAACACTCGTATTCTTCGTCCTACTGTGTGATCGATGGCTAACTCATGCATCTTTCATTTCCACTTCTGATCTCGAACTTCTGAGGATACACGATGATACTTTCCAGGCACAAAATCAAAAAGCAGTTCGCCAGAGAAACCAAAAAGGCCTTCCACATCAGAAGAGGAAATTAAAGATGGGCGAGCGACGTCTGCATCGAGTGACGGGGAAAAAAAATGCTATTTGTTCAGCACGTGCCTTAGTACAAGTCTTCACGCGCATGTTTTGTGAACGAACAAAATAAATAAGAGCCAAAAATGATGCTTTTGTTTGTTGCACTTTTGACATGGTCTAATTAATTTCATAGCTAACATTTTTATGTGTTTCTAAATAAAAAAAACATGGCTGATTCACCCGTCATAGGAAGTGGCATAACTCGAAAGTGAGATGCATATTCATAGGAGTAGTGCTTATTGTTTAGTGATATACAGGGTGTTTCAAGAAATGTGTCTAATATTTATTAAAATTTACAGAAAAGAGGTATCTGCGTGATACCTGCGGCGCTGCCTTCCAGTGGCAGAAGGCACCTTCGGTTGGGTAAAAACATTAATTATGGCATAACTTATAGAAGTTAACATAGTTACCTTTTAGGGCCGGAACTCTAAGCTGTGGGCGGTGCGTCCTCAATGTGTGTAGTACGTAGCCACTTCTCATTTAGTTCTTGAAATGTCCGCTAGCTGACAGTATTTGTATAAGATGAATATACGACTAAAAGATACAAGATGGAGATACTTATAGTGTTCACTAGATGGACGGACAGACAGACAGTAAGGCAGACGGACGGGCGGACAGACGAACGAACACACGGACAGATGGACGAACAAACGGACACACAGACAGATAGATGGACAAGCGGACAAAGCCAGCGGACAAATGATTCACGCTTTAACTATAAAACCCTCCGAAGCTTCACGCCACTCATCATCATTCACTCCGTGCATATGCAGTGCTTTTTTCTTACCAGTTATAATAGCCGGTCGAGTCAAATGAGCGAATTCTAGCCTAGTGATCACCGCGGAGTGATGCAATCTGGGCAATTTAGCTGTCAAATACTGAAACTGGCGCACCAAACAGCGCATCTACAATTCACTTCGAGAACACCCTCAATGACGCCGGACTCGCTCGCTGGCTTCTATGCTGACCGGTTGTGCCCCCTAGAGCTCCGACGACAGTGCAGCTCTGGCCGACTGGGATGGTCGTACGCCAACTCCTGACGCCGGTGCCCGACGACGACGACAGCGTAGCTCTGGCTGACTGAATTACCCATATGCCATCTCCTGTCACCAACAAGAGCTCTCGCCAGTGGTGCCCCGTCCTCGGACTGCTGGGATCGTCTCTATCTTTCCTTTCTTCTCCTCACTTCCGTCATTCACTGTCCCTGCGCCTTGCTCTCTCCTTCCTTTCTCTCTTCACCTTTTAACTCTATCCTTTTAATGCCTTCTCTGCCCTCATTCCTCGTGAGCAACTGTTGAGGTGTCCTCCCCCTGAGAGACAGTTAGGAGGCTCAGTTTTCTCTTCTTTTCATTTTAAAATCACTCCTTTCCCCCATTGATGACGCCCCTGTTTACCTTCATTATGTGGAAAGAAAGAGCGAGCGTCGATAAGCGGCCTCGAAGGAAAATGTCTAAATTGACTGTTTATAGCGTGCGGGAAACAGTGGCATCATTTAGAGTGTTGTCGAAGTGAATGGTAGATGCACTGTTTGGTGTAATGAGCTAAACTAGGCTCATTGCTTCGTTCAGCGGGGATTACCAGTGGCTGCTTTTCCGAAATTTCAAAGTGGCTATAGACCATTCGTAGGAAGGGCTTGCATTTGCCCATTTGACTCGAGCGGCTATCACCACTGGTTAAAAAGGTAATTGTGTTACATTCTATAATTACTGCCATCATTCATGTTTGTACGCATGTAAAGATACCCTCTGCAACAGGAAAGGCAAAGCCGCAAGTAACACACAAATACTTCCTTTTGGGATTTTTAAAGAATATTGGACACATTTCTTCAAACACCTTGTATACGAGAGCCTGTACATTGTCTGTTGGCATTTCGCAGCAATAGCACAGTTTGACGTGGACACAGCCACGTTGTAGCCTAGCAGCAGGTCTCCGTCTCGACGACTATTACCCATGATCGTTGATTGATGATTGATTTATATATGCGATTTAACATCCCAAAACCACCATATCATCGGATTATGAGAGACACGACTAAGGAAATTTCGACCATCTGGGGTTCTTAACGTGCACCCCTATCTGAGCACAAGAGCCTACAGCATTTTCGCCTCCATCGAAAATGAAGCCGCTGCAGCCGGAATTCGATGACGCGACCTGTGGGTCAGCTGCCGCGTACCTTAGCCACTAGACCACCACGGTGGGGCCACCCATGATTATGATTTAACTGTTGTGGTAACTAAATTTTTTAACAAATATCTGAACATGGTATCATTAATTGCGCACACAGATGACATCAACCAACACACACTAAATAATGCTACTAGAGTATACTATAGTCGGTGACAACCCAAGAATAAAAAGCAAAATACAAATAAAAGAACAAGTGCCCCCTTGAAAACTCGGGTCCCAAGCCATTCATCTGTGTGATAGAGTCTTGGCTTTCGTGGCAACCATACGTACACTTTTGCTGCTAACACAAATAATACGCCCAATAATATTTAGAAGTTTGACATCCTTACTCCAACAACTATGTTAGGCAGAGAGTGATGTAGAAATCTTTGTGGATATTGCGAAGAAAGCCAACGTTTTTCGACCGATAACCAGTGGCAGCTACTTATGTCTTCATAAAGAAAGCACCGATGTAAACTGCGCGAATGGTACTTGGCATCAACCAAATGAATAAGTGTGACTTTCCAGGGGTCGTATCCCACGGGATGGCTTTATGCTCTTCCATAGTACAGTACGAAGTACTCTAAATCGTTAACCCTTTTTTCTAGACAAATTTTCTCGGAGGTGTGAGTGGCTTGTGCAGAATGTCTGGCCATTGATTTCTGCTCCTTACAGGACGGCTTTACGCTCTCCCATAGTAGAGCACCTAGTACTCTAAGTTGTTATACCCACTTTTTCTAAACACACAAATTTTCTCGGCGTTCTTAGGTCTCGTACCTACTAAGTAAAAAAGAATGGCTTTCAGCCCTCCAATAGTAGAGTACCGAGTACTCTAAATTCTTAACCACTTTTCTAAACGCACCTTCTCAGCGTGGCAAAGGTACCGCTGTAGGTAGAGCTTATACTTATTCTTAGGTTGTAACCGACTATAGTACGCTCTACTGCTACTCAATTTGCGTGTCTTCAATGATCATCAGGTACGGAGAGAAACAGCACGGTGTGCGCGTCTACAATTTACGCCAGCATTCACGCATATTGCTCTTCAGCAATGCGTGATGCAGAAGTTCGTAGCTTGAGCCGCGAACACGTGTCGGCGTTCCACGTCCTGCTGGCCTCAGTTTGGCTCCATCAAGGCCTGACAATCACCCATCGACGGCGTCGCATTGCTCCAGTGCTTACTGAAACAGTTTCAGTAAATAGGCTGGTGCTGTCACACTCCAAGTAATCGGCAGGGAAACATCGTTCGTGCTAGTGAAAACTGCACGACTTCAACAACGAGCCATCAAGAACTAAGACGAAGTGAAAGGCAAGAAACGTAACGGCCTTGGCGACTCTCGCGTGGTGTGATTTTGTCATTGCTATCGAGAAACTTTAACCATAGCCCCTAAGACTCCGCACGTGCCAGGGCGCAATCTCAGGCGTCATGCTTTAACTGCACTCTCCTATCACACATTCACTGTCCCGCCGTGCTCTCTATTGATGGAGCAGGGCGGTGCGGTCGTGTGTGACTGCGCAAGAGAAGTAAAGCGGCTTGATGCAGTTAAAGCATAGCCTCCAAAACTGCGTGCGCACCAGCGCGCAAACTGGGACGTCGTGCTTTAACTGCATCACGCCGCATTACTTCTCTTGAGCACTCACAAACGGCGGCATTGCCCAGCTTCACCAACAGAAAGCACAGCGCAAGACAGTATGTGCAAGAAAATATAGGACGCGTTCGAACGAATATCATCAAGCGTCTCGAAAGCTCAGGTGGTAGAATCGCGGGCTCTATTCGTCGTTTCTCCAGGTATAAGAGATTTGACACCCAGAAAAAAAGAAATTTCGTTCAACGTTTCTTTTTTTCTTTCTCATTTGATAGCTAAAATTTTATGTCATATCCATGACGAAAATATGTCACTGAAATCTTGGTGTACCCCGGCATAGAACTCTTTCATGTTAAAAATCAGTTAAGAATCAGTCGATATTATATGCATTGCTTTCGTCCGTTGTCTTCTTTTTTTCTTTTTGTTTGTGAGCATTGCACAGCATGAATAAAGATGAAATGAATGAGTAAAATATGATATGAATGAATGGAAAATGAATATGAATGAAGTGTGCATTTTGATTACCAAGCTTAGTTGTTCACTTAAACATTTGATCTTTGTTCACTTCATTTGCTTCTTTTTCTCCATTTAGCGCGACCCGACAATATACAGCGCAAGTAAAGTATGTGGTGGAAGTCAGTAACTGCACACGTGCATCAGTGGTCGCCCCTAGGAGGACATAGGCAGGTAGCATGTGACTGCACCTGATACTGACCAGTGCTCCAGCAGCGCTCTGCCCGGCTTCGCTGAGCCACATGCCTGGAACCATGGCCGAGAAATAGGGGCCCCACACGCCTGGAGTGAAGATACAGTTCTCGTTCGCCTGCAAACACGTGTGCACAGTGAGCCAAAGACGAGTGCACGTGTTTTGAAGGAATGCATTGCTGGACTACTCAGCTTTGTGCTTACAAGTTTTAAGGACTGTACGGGTTATGCAAGAAGCTTTGTAACTTATCATTTCTTTATTTTGTACTGCTAGCTTGTTTTACAAGTCATAAGCTGTGGCGGTTTGCACATAATAGTGTGTTAAAGAATGTGTTAGAATAATGAAAAGTACCTGAACTTTGTGGTAAACAACTTTACAGCATGTCAAACACACAAAAAACATTAAAATAGAGTAGAGCACCCACCATAATGCAGGTGAATATATTGTATTTTATTTCTTCTGTGCCAGCAGACAAAGACCATACTACAACAAAATGTGACATCGTTAAGGCGTCCTTATAGTTAGGAATGTCCATTTTTTGCACATGTCCTTCATTAACTTTCATGTCAGCTGGAGTTAATGTCAGCATGAAGTCGATACATTTTATGCGATTCGGTGTCAAGAAATTTTGAGAGTGCCATGGGTTGAGACAGTAGTAATGTCTTTTTTTCAATAATACTCACATAACTTACGTCATAAAGGAGGATTTGCAAGGACAGCAGAGCGAAAAATTATATATTAGTAGTTTTGCTTGAACCGTAAGACCACATTTTTCTTGAACTCAATAACAAGGGTGGTTGTTGGCGTTGAAACTTATGTCATTTGCTGGACAGTCTGCTTGGCGTGTTGCGGCAAGTTGCTTGTAATTTTTATAAGTAAATATAGGCCACACTACTCCAAGCTCAGTAATATGAAAACATCTTTCTACACTGTCGTATACAAAATATTTTCGTTTATATATGTCATATATTGATTAAAATTTTGAACATGAGGCTAGCTGCACTGTGCGAAAGTCGGTAAACGCCCCCATGAACAGATTCTTCCACGATAACTTTATAACAAGAGCACGAAGACTGGAAGAAACTAGATACTTTACCCGAAGAATGAAATGTGAAATGCAGTCCTCACTTTCATACTTTTTTCAAAGTTCGAACTTTCAATGACAATACTTCCTGCTCAACGCGCACCAATTTTCTATTATTTTGGCGTTTATCTCAGTATTTATAGACGGAAAACTGATATACGTACAATAGATGGCTTTTCAAAAAGAAAAAGATGATCACCAGGCCTGCGTGCAAAGCGCAGCACAGTCACAGCAAAAGCTGAAAGAGTGCCATTTCTAAAGCCTCTTTTACACACAATTTGGTTGACTGCTACAAGAACAATTGAAAGATACTTACTAAATCATAAATCATAATACTTTTTGTGTGGTAGAGAAGCATTGACTATGCCATTCTTCGTCATTCTTTGGAGAAGCATGGTGCCCGCTACACAAGTCGAATCAAGTTTGTGCAATTTTTCGATGCTGCGGTGGACTAAGATGAAGAATTATCGGTGAGGCTTTTGTAAGTAATGGGTTCGAACAATCGACAACCCACTCGTTGCCGAATCCGCATTGTATGATGCCTCGCTGTTTTGCTGTTTTAAAATGCTTTATTACTTATAATAACAACCAATTTCTTCCCTGACAAGGATCGATTTGCAATGAAGCTTCAAGCACCGAGATGGCTCAGCGGTATACAATACTGGGCTGGCATGCTGGTGATCTGGGTTCGAATTCTATTGTGTAAGTGCTGTTTACTATTTACTCAGCACAGTGGATTTTGCTTATTGGACTGCACAGTTCGGAGCCCTCACCAGCATGTGGCACGTGGATGTTCCGGCAATGATGGCCAGGCGGCGGGAGAATGATTTGCAGAATTCACCTTCAGCTTCACAGCCAAGCAAACCTGTGTACGTCACAAGAATTTAGATAAAAAGCGGCATTGGCATATTTGGTATTTACTCATCTAGGGTGGAAAAGGCGCGAAAACAGCATTGACGAAGGCCAATGTGTCATAATGCTGTCTGTGTCGTTTCTGCCCATTTTAGGGGCAACCGTTCTTAAAGGGACACTGAAGAGGTTTTTAACTCGCGAATTTATTGCGAATTCGGTATCCTGCGACCTCTTACAACATGTCTACAGAGGCTTTTTTTGTGATCTTTGAATAAACTGCAGTGCTGTGAGCAAGCAAACTTCAACCACGGCCCGGCTCTGCTCCCTCTTTAGCCCGGCCGTGCTTCGACCAAGGAAACGCCCCCCCCCCCACCCACACTCACCACGCACGTGTGCGAAGGCGGAGTACGGGAGAGATTGGCAGGTGGGGAGGTGACGTCACCTTCAGGGCTGAGCCACCGCACAGCGGGCTACTATGTGCCGGGCCGCCTGCGTTGCTTAGCCAGCTCAGCTTGTCTACTTCGCGATTGTGCCTTGTTTCTCCTGCGATCTGCTCTCTAGCAAAGCATCAGTTCTGCCAGTTCGTAGGGATTTGTTGCCATTGCACTGTTCTCCTCTTTAATTAGAGATTTTCGCCATCCGACATTCACTAGTTGTGTTATCGCAATGTTGAGGGGACTACCGATGCCGAGTTACTGCGCGGCATATGGCTGCCACAGCACTTAAAAAGGCTCATTCAAACCGAAGGCGGCACGGTGAAGCAGCCAAGCGCGCTTTTCGAAGCGGCGAGCGCGTGAACTCGTTCAAACTGCTTGCCTCTTTTGGCTGGCCGCGCAGCAAAAGAGAGGGGACATCCCGGGCTTTTGCGCACGTGTCGGTATGACGTGGCAATGCTTCTTCCAAACGTACATCCCTTGCCACCACAGCGCCTCCACTGCGTGCCATTCTGATAGGCTGCCGGAAGGCTGCGAGTTTCGGCAGGCGGCGAAAAATTGCTCTGAGAGCGATCGCCTTTGCCGCATGGTTTTTCTCCCGCTTTCGCCGCCTGGAGAGGAGGTTCTTTCCACTTTCCGCGTTGCCGCCTGGCCGCTTTAGCCGCCACGCCTTCGGCGTGAACGAGCTTTTACAGTTGTGATGAGGTCGTTTTTCACAAGTTTTCTCGGGATTAGAAGATGGCTGCAAAATGGGCCGCTGCAGTTAAAAAAAATACTTCAAACCCAAGAGATGAAGCGCGCTGCAGCGGTTGCAGATCTGCTGATTTTAGAGGAAGCAGCCGCACTCGGATCCTCCTCTTCCCCATTAGCGTGCAGTGCATGCATGAGCCCCTATAGCAAAAACACGTTTACAAAGATTTCAGTAAGCATATTCGAAATAAGCTATCCTACACGACAGTCGCATGCTTCTAGCACAGCTAATACACCGTTTGCATTTTAAGAGATCATCATTGTAGTACTGGGCAGAATTTAGAAAAAGAGACGGTATTATAAAACGCGAAATTACAATATATGAGTCAAACTATTCTTGCGCAGTTTTAAGTGCAGTTCACAACACATATCACCACTGCGGCAAGAGGGCACTCGTCTAGCTCCTTATTTTTTTTTCTTGGAATAGCATACTGATTCATCGCGTGCACCTTGCCCACTGTGAAGTACGATACTGACTGCATAAGAAGCGAAGGCAACGCATAGTGGCGCTGCAATTCCGGACAGGCAGCGCCACGTTTGGTAAAAAAAGTTGAAATCGGGGATGTATATGGCGCGTTTTATCTTCACTCCGATGCGCTGCTCCTCACTTACGTGCTCGTGCAGAAAGCATGCGCTGCGTTTGAGTGGCCTCACAATTAATGTACCGCCTGCAGTGTTGCTTCACAAAGATCTCCGAGCTGGAAAAGCACTTCTGAGAAGCGAATCGAAGTAAAGAAGTAAAGCTCGTTAGTCAAGTTTATGATGTGGAGCAGACGATGGAAGAGGAGGACGCCCGAGTCACGGCGAAATGAATTTCTCAGGTCCTTCCAGATACTATCGTGTAGACGTATGCCTCGAGGTAAGTCTTATTCTGCCGACATGAAGCCACATACTCTATCAATGTGCTGCGTTGACGTTTATAGAAACCGTATAATTGTTGTTTTGATGTGGTATCTAGCAGTAGCAGCCATGTACTGTCATGTGCAAACATTTGTGAAGTGCTGAATAAATAAATAAAAACTACGGCCATGGCACTAAAATGTCCGAGAAGCTTTAGAGTCATATCCTCCGTGCCGCACATGATCCGCTCATTTCGCCGCGAAGCAGCAAGCTTTAACCACAGCGAGTCAAGTTGAAAAGCTGGCTTTTTTTATCCGTGTCTCGGGGAATCGCCGCTGGCGGCTGTGAAGTGCTAACTGGCTTCACATGGGCTCCTTCTTTTTTGCCTTTTCAACTAGCATCACGGCTCACGACCACCCCCATTTTGGCATCTGCGTAACAGGCAAGATGTCAGCGTTCGGCGGACACTAGTCACTGCCAAGTGAGTCCCTGATTTCTTTATTTTCGCAAGGCCACAAAACCGCTCGCCTAAGCCTAACACAGAATGCGAGCGCATCGAGAGATGTGTCGTTAGCGCGCAGCGCATGCTGGCGACGCTCGAGTGCTTCGGGGAGCATTGCATCGGCACCAGCTCACGCGGCGCCCAGTTTGCGAGATGAGCCAAGAACAAACAAACGAAACTGTACAGTGATCAGCTGGACGAATGATACAAATGCCATGCATTTGAACGCGACCAAAATGCGAACCCAGAGACTTTCTGATGGTAAGACGAGAGCAGTGGCAGAACAATTGAACGGGAAAGCGTTTGGATCACGAGGCAAGAAGGACGTGAGGAAAAACATGACGACAGAAGGAAAACTTCGCAAGGAAGAAACGACAACGCAGCAACACCCATCGCACCGTTGCAACCCCTACCATTTGACGACTACAAGATCATCTACCTCCCTCAAGCAGGCCTCGAGCTAGCAAAGTGGAACAATATCGCCATCATGCAAGCCATTGGAAGGGCCAGCTGTCTGCCACAGCAATGTTTCGGCGAGAAAGTGTGCGTCCAAGTGCAACGCCAAGAAAACCTGATTATAGCAAGCACGGCGGAATGGGAAGACGCAAAAAAACTTGAAGGCATCACCAGCATACAACTTGGCGGACCTTTTTTCACCTTAAACGGCAACACGAGAACGCCGCACGACATCTCTCGCAGTGTCATAAGCGGACTTCTGCCCGGCACGACGGAAACCGAACTCAAGGCCGGTCTTCGTGCATCAGTGCAGAACACGATCCTACACGCCCGTATGCTTGGGCAATCGTCAGCTGCAGTGATTTTTTTTCAAGGGCCCCATGTTCCTTATTACGTCCATTTCTACAGTCTCGACTTTCGATGCAGACCATATCAAAAATCGGTGGCAATATTGCAAGACCTGCGGCAACACGGGACACCGGTCAGGATGTCTGCCCCTGACCACTCCAAGATTTCTCCTCTAAATGAGGCAAGGCAAACCAATCATCAGACCATGTGTGCAAACCCGTCTGTAAGATATGCGAAGAGGGGCATGAAACTGCAAGCAAGAATTGCAAGAAAAGGCTTAAACCTAATCCGCCACCATTCCACATCCGACAGCAAAGAATGGACTGGATAAAAGCACGAGACTGCCACAATAGTCTAGGGAATGAAGACTTAGCGGACCTAGGAAACCAAACGACCAATTTGAGCAGCAGCGCCGGCATCACTTCTGCACAAAGTCGATCACAGCTAATACTCCGGCGAAGCTCATGATCCCCCTCCCAATCATGCTCGCACTCACCCAAAAGATTGAGCTACGCTGGCGAAGCAAGTGGTCCGAATATCTTCAAAGCAACAAGCAAGTGCGTGTCTTCGTCACTTGACAATGAAGCCTTACGATCACTTCAAGATAGGGTGCATAATCAAGAAAGTACTTTACAGCATCAAACCAGTCAACTACAAAGTCAACAAGCCAGTCGACAAGCTGATACATAGCCACCAAAAACAGAAAGACAGTATGAACAAGCTTCTTAAAAATTGTGAGGAGCAAAATAACCTGATAGACAAGCTTCAATGGAAATTCACTATCATGCAAAAGCATGATGGACAACCGGGTGCCCTCTTTCCCTGAACAAATGTGGAATCTAGTGTGGACGCCTGATTCCAGACCTTATAGGCAATTTAATGAGAAGCATCCACATTACCGTAGAGAATATTGTATAGACAGAAATAGCGAATTTCGCCGTAAGCATAAACAGCAAGATTACCACGTTTGATGCCAAAGTGGACAAACTTGCAGCGCAGCTGAACAACTTCACAGCATATGTTAAGAAGACCTATGCCACCAAAAAGCTCCTGGATATTTCACTAAGAGACGTTCATCCTGACAGGAAGGGCGCACGAGCAAAAGGCCGAAGCGCTTCTTGTTCAATTTCACCTAACCGCGAGCACCAGCGGGAACCTGAAGAAATGGAAGATGGCAGTCCCTAACAAGAAGGCAAAAAACACGCTCTCAACTCTCTGCGTCTGGCAGTTGAACTGTCGTTCCTACCGTCCACGTTTTGCTATTTTGAAAGAATTTGTCAAGTGAGACCCCCCCCCGACATCCTAGCACTGCAAGAAACAATTACACATAATGTGCGGCTACAAGGATATACAACGCACTCATCCAAACAAAGCGTACTGCAATCCTTACAAGAAAGGCTCTCACAGTACAGGAATTAAAACCAGTCAACACACTCGAGCACACCGCGATAGAAGTAATACCGCAATGGAAATCGCAAAACAGACCCATTGCTGCGAGCGTGTACAGCCCCCCCAAAAAACCAACTGCCAGAATTTGGACCTTCCGGTTCGAGAATCAAAAAAACGCGCTGATGACTATAGTTGTTATAATGGGAGACTTTAACGCCCGCCCCTCACACGGCTTGGGGCTACTATACCACAACAAAAAAAGGTGCCCGAGTACACGACATGGCTCAGCAGCAC